GTTCTTTTTTAGGGGGACCGTCGCGAGCCAGATGCAAGACTCGTTGCACAGTAAAGAGCTCAGATTTCTCGGTGCCAACACGTGGCAGCGTCCTATGGCGCAGAAGCGTTTTCGGGAAAACAGGACGCCTAAACCAGCACAGCCAGTTCCAATTCCGCACCTACACCGAGGAGCTACAGAGTTCGAGCCGATCCCACTGCTGACACCAGTAAGGATGTCTCGGAGGGCGCAGGAACCCAGCCCGGACCCACGGGTTCCGCACTGGAGTTCCTGCCACCCGGGCGGATTCGGGGTTTGACTCGCGGCTGGGCTCTGGGAGACGCGCCAATGGGGGGTCCCCCCCACCACCCAAACGCCGAAGTGAATCCGACCCGCCCTGCTCCTGCACCCCCCACCCCCCACCTCCAACCGGGCAGACTGGGCCAGGTCCAGTCCCTCGCCCTCGAACCCACTCCGCCTCCGGTGAAGGGCGTGGGGCACCGGTCTCGACAGCGCCACCTTGTGGATGGCAGTGGAATCGCGGCGGGCATCATCATCATCAGCAGCAGCAGCAGCAGCACCAGTGCGATTCCTAGGCTTGAACCGGATAGGGGCAGAGGGGCCCTACAGCCCCCCAGGGGCCCGGTCGCGCAGGTGCGCGGCGTGGTGCTTCTTCAGGCACACCAGGCGCATGAAGGCGTCATCGTCATCATCATCATCATCAGCAGCAGCAGCAGCGCGATTCCTAGGCTTGAACCGGATAGGGGCGGAGGGTTGAGGGGCCCCTACTGGCCCCCCAGGGGCCCGGTCGCGCAGGTGCGCGGCGTGGTGCTCCTTCAGGCACACCAGGCGCATGAAAGCGTCATCATCATCATCAGCAGGAGCAGCAGCGCGATTCCTAGGCTTGAACCGGATAGGGGCGGAGGGGTTGGCCCCTACCGGCCCCCCGGGGGCCCGGTCGTGCAGGTGCGCGGCGTGGTGCTCCTTCAGGCACACCAGGCGCATGAAAGCGTCATCATCATCATCATCATCAGCAGGAGCAGCAGCGCGATTCCTAGGCTTGAACCGGATAGGGGCGGAGGGGTTGGCCCCTACCGGCCCCCTGGGGGCCCGGTCGCGCAGGTGCGCGGCGTGGTGCTCCTTCAGGCACACCAGGCGCATGAAAGCGTCATCATCAGCAGGAGCAGCAGCGCGACTCCTAGGCTTGAACCGGATAGGGGCGGAGGGGGGGGGCCCCTACCGGCCCCCCGGGGGCCCGGTCGCGCAGGTGCGCGGCGTGGTGCTTCTTCAGGCACACCAGGCGCATGAAGCGCGTGCCGCACTGGGCGCAGCCGTAGGGCCGCTCGCCCGTGTGGATGCGCTGGTGGGTCTTCAGGCTGTTGGACTGGTTGAAGCGCTTGCCGCAGTAGGGGCAGCCGTAGGGCCGCTCGCCCGTGTGGATGCGCAGGTGGCGCTTCAGGTTGCGCAGGTGGCCGAAGGCCTTGCCGCACAGGCCGCAGGGGTGGGGGCGCTCGCCCGTGTGCACCCGCAGGTGGGTCTTCAGGCTGTCCGGGTGCAGGAAGCCCTTGCCGCACTGGGGGCAGATGTTGGGCCTGGCGGGGGCGGCCGGGGGGGCGGGGGCGGTCCGGAAGCTCCTGGTGACGCCGTGGATCTGCTGGTGGGTCCGCAGGCGGCTGAGCTGGCCGAAGAGCTTCCCGCACAGGGCGCAGGGGAACGGGCCGGCCCCGGATCCGGCTTCGGCCCGCCGCTGGGGCCCCGGGACCCCCGGCGGGCCCCCCCGGCAGGTCCCGCATTCCAGGCAGGACTCCCCGGCGATCGGTTCCCCTCTCCCTCCCGTCCGGCCCAGAAACCCCAACGGCCCGATCTGCTGGTTCTGATCCGGCTCCAGGCCGCCGCCACCCTGGGGCTCGGTCTCCTCTTTGATGCGGACAGGATCCGGCTCTGGATGCGCACCGGGGGCCCCGGAGCAGGGCTGCGGGATTCTCTCGCCGGGCCCGCTGGGGTTCGAACGGAGGGGCTGTGGCTCGCCGTGATCCGACCAAAACCCGATGCCCTGCTCCTTCAGTACCTCTTGGTCCTGCCCTGTGGTCACCACAGTTCCTGCTGGGCTGCAACGCTGTGGTTGGAGACCAGTGTGGCTGCTAGCCCCCTCTAGACCGTGCCCATATCCCAGCGCGTTGAGTCTCTGGGTCACATTCCCGGTTCCTGGTTCTCCGACGCACGCGGACCGCGGTTCACCGATCTCCTCCTCACTCCGGGGCCCCAGCCACTCCTTCTCGCTCTCCGGCGGCACAGGGTGGGGATCCTGCCTCAGACTGGGGACCCACAGCCCCTCGCAGCCCGGCTGCTCGGCTGGGGCCCGTCCAGCGTCGTCACCGGGGCCTAGGGACGCCGAGGAGAGAGGTCAGGGGTCAGGGGTCAGGGGTCACAGGTGGCCAATAGGAAGGTGTCAGGAAAGCAGAGCAGTTCAAACTGGAGGAGGTGGTACAAATAAGCGAGTTCGGCGACTTAGACCGAAGAAGAGGCCATATATTCCCTTCTCTATGGGATATCGAGAGGAAACCCACACGAACTACTGGAGAACGTGCAAACTCCACCCAGACAGCCCCTCAGGAAGTGAATCCAGGGCCTTGGAATCCCAGTTATCCTCGGAAATATTCCTCGGACCCAGGCCGCAACCCTCCCAGCTGTGAAATCTTATCTTTAGCCGCTAATAATAATAATAATAATAATAATAATTAATTATTGCTTACACTTCTTTAGCGCTTTTCTGGACACTCCACTCAAAGCGCTTTACAGGTCATGGGGATCCCCTCCACCCCCAGCAGTGTGTACCCCCACCTGGATGAGGCGCCAGTCCGCTCCCCACACCCCAGCTCTCAGTGGGGAGGAGAGCAGAGTGATGGAGCCAATTCATAGAGGGGGATTATTAGGAGGCCATGATGGGTAAGGGCCAATGGGAAATTTGGCCAGGACGCCGGGGTAACACCCCTACTCTTTTCGAGAAACACCCTGGGACCACAGAGAGTCAAGACCTCAGTTTTATGTCTAATCCAAAGGACGGCGCCTGTTTACAGTCTAGTGTCCTCCGTCACTATACTGGGGCATTAGGACCCACACAGACCGCAGGGTGAGCACCCCCTGCTGGCCCCACTAACACCTCTTCTAGCAGCAGCCTCAGCTTTCCCAGGAGTCTCCCCTCCAGGTACTGACCAGGCTCCCACCTGCTGAGTCTCCAGTGGGGCTGCCAGTGGTGAGCTGCAGGGCGATAGAGCAGCTGGAATCGGAATATTCCCGATTCAGGGAATCACAATAGCAGACAATGGGAAAAAAAACATTTCGGATCCGAAACTTGATCAATTTTCCTTGCACCAGCTCAAAGGCCCAAGTAGCACTTAACACGCGGTGCAAACTGAACTGTGCCTGCTCTCGTCATCAAACACGTGCTCAGGACGTTCGTTAGTTAAATTCCTCTTACTTTTGCCAGAAGTCAACAGCCCTCCTTCAGGATCGCCGCTGTCGGACTCCTCTTCCAGGTCCTCTTCTTTGAGAAGGAGAGACTCTTCCAGATCTGCAGCCTGGGACAGAAGAGCACGTTTTACTCTGACAAAATCAGCCAACAAAGATCAGGGCCCTGTGACCAGTCCAGATCGCACTTCATAATATATCAAGTCTGGATCCTTTGCCAATTATACCCAGCGGCCATATCACCCTGCAGCTCCCCGCTGGCAGCCCCACTGGAGACTCAGCAGGTGGGAGCCTGGCCAGTACCTGGAGGGGGAGACTCCTGGGAAAAGCTGAGGCTGCTGCTGGAAGAGGTGTTAGTGGGGCCAGCAGGGGGCGCTCACCCTGCGGTCTGTGTGGGTCCTGATGCCCCAGTATAGTGACGGAGACACTAGACTGTAAACAGGCGCCGTCCTTCGGATGAGACGTCAAACCGAGGTCCTGACTCTCTGTGGTCATTAAAAATCCCAGGGTGTTTCTCGAGAAGAGTAGGGGTGTTACCCCGGTGTCCTGGCCAAATTTCCCCCCTGGCCTTTACCCATCATGGCCTCCTAATAACCCCCCTCTCTGAACTGGCTCCATCACTCTGCTCTCCTCCCCACTGAGAGCTGGGGTGTGGGGAGCGGACTGGCGCCTCATCCAGGTGGGGGTACACACTGGTGGTGGTGGAGGGGATCCCCATGACCTGGAAAGACCTCCGAGTGGAGAAGCAATAGAGCTGAAGAGGTTTCTGTTTATGTGCCGACAGTGGAAGGGACAATAATCATGAGATCAGAGCAGTGCAGACGCTCTGAGTTCAGGGGCTTTGGCACCCCTGGGTCCTTATCCACACCTGGGGTGCTGTCCGTGTGGAGTTTGCATGTTCTCCCTGGCCTCCATTAAAGGAGAGTGGCACTGTAGGTACAGTGGTTTGGCACTGCTGCCTGGCAGTGCTGGGGCCCCCTAGGGGAAACATCCTGACTCGGGGGTGCTGTCTGTGTGGAGTTTGCATGTTCTCCTTCGGTTCGCAAGGGTCTCCTGCAGGTGCTCTCGCGTTCCAAAGACCTGCTGGGAGGCGAAGTGGCTTCTGGGAAAACTGGCCCTGGTGTGTCCGTGTGTCTGCCCTGTGATGGACTGGCGTCCCATCCAGGGCGTGCCCTGCCTTGTGCCTACTGCTTGCTGGGATAGACTCCAGCTCCACGTCTGTTCTGATCACGTACCTCCTGTTTAATGGTCTCGGCACGCTGGTCGGCAACCCCATCCATGAAACCAGCAGGATAGAGATCAGCCATGTCCTCTTCAGCTGCAACGGAGGCGGTGTCTCTATCCCCAGCAGCCCCCACGCTCCTGTCGTCCGTGCCTGTGGACAGAAAGAATAATAATAATTGCTTACACTTATATAGCGCTTTACAGGTAATGGGGTCTCCCCTCCACCCCCAGCAGTGTGTACCCCCACCTGGATGAGGCGCCAGTCCGCTCCCCACACCCCAGCTCTCAGTGGGGAGGAGAGCAGAGTGATGGAGCCAGTTCAGAGAGGGGGGTTATTAGGAGGCCATGATGGGTAAAGGCCAGGGGGGAAATTTGGCCAGGACACCGGGGTAACACCCCTACTTTTCTCGAGAAACACCCTGGGGTTTTTAATGACCACAGAGAGTCAGGACCTCGGTTTTACGTCTCATCCGAAGGACGGCGCCTGTTTACAGTCTAGTGTACCCCGTCACTATACTGGGGCATCAGGACCCACACAGACCGCAGGGTGAGCGCCCCCTGCTGGCCCCACTAACACCTCTTCCAGCAGCAGCCTCAGCTTTCCCAGGAGTCTCCCCCTCCAGGTACTGACCAGGCTCCCACCTGCTGAGTCTCCAGTGGGGCTGCCAGTTGTGAGTTGCAGGGTGATATGGCTGCTGGCTGATAATGAGTCTGAGAATGACGACTCAGAAGCGCGACCAGAAGGCACGTCTTTGCGCTAAGGGTGGCGGGGAGAGGGAACAGGCCGGCCTGCCATGTTTTCATAAGCCCCCCTGAGATCCTCAGCTCATGGCACTTGCTGGTCTACAGAGATCTGCATGGAGTACTGACACACAGAAGACATGATGGATGGATTAATACTCGTATTCGTTTATTTCCTTTTTTTTAAATTCTATAACGTTAGCATGCCCAAAGGGGTTGGGCAGCCAGTTGCCCTTGGACCCCCTAGAGGTTTTTTTTCTCCTTGTTAAGACTGTTTTAGTTCCTCTCCTCCGTTGTCTTCTGGTCTTTTCTGTTCTGTCTTCACAAAATGTGTGGTCCCTTGCATTGTTAAGCGCCCTGGGGCAACCGTGTTGAGTGCTATATAAAAATAAACCGAAGCGAATCGAGCGCTTTACACGAAGGGTGGTGGGAGGGTGGAACAGGCTGCCCACAACGCCGGGCTTCTTCCGAGAAAATCAGCGAACTACCAGACGCCACGGTTTATTAGACAGGCCGAAAGGGTGGGGTGGGCTCGGCGTGACTCCCCCCCCAAAAAAAGACTTGAGCCGAGTCCTATCTGAGAACCCCCCGTCTTGATCAAACCCACAAAACCAGTTCGCTTATCTGCGATGTAGGGCAATAACAGGAGAGACGGGGCGGGCTGGCAGAAGGGCCAAAGATAAATAAAACACGACGCAGATAACGCCCCGTCTCTGAACTGCCCGGGGTTTGAATGAAAGGACCGGGAGAGATCCGGGTTTTCGCCCGTGAAGGCGATCTTACCGGCAACGGGGCGCCGGCAGACAACCTCCCCCGCCTGCCCCACCGCCGCCGCGCTCTGCCACAGCTGCAGGCGCCACCTCAGGGTGTCGTTTTCCTCCTTGATTCGCGCGATCTGGACCTCGAAGTCGGCGAAACTGCCCCGGACGAGCTCGGTTATCTCGCACACGGCGGCCCGGACGAGGATCTCCAGGACGGAGGCCAGCTGGGTGTGAAACGCTGCGGCGGTATCCGACATCCTTGCTGGGAAATCCGGGCCGAGCCCAAGTTCCCCCCCCCCCGCCCTCCTTCTCCTCTTCCTCTTGTTTGAGCTTTTATGCTTTTCAACGCTCCAGCTGTTTCTGGGCTTAGAAGGGGAGCCGCTTCTGCATCGTCACCCAGTGTTTCTTTATGGTCGGCCGGCGCCTCCGCGGCCGTGGCCAGTGCGCATGTCCGTGGCTGTGGGCGGCCTAGCGCGACTCCGCCGCGCCGCCTCCTGGGCGCCCGGCCGTGTCCGCAAAGAGACGCCAAGCGGAAAACAGTAGTTTTGATTAATTTTTGGTCGGCGTGAATAGCCGCAGTTCTTTTGAAGGTTCCCCATCTCTCCTGGTCGCGACGTGACGGTTAATTCCCCTTACAAACGCGCCCCCCCCACATCTTTCACAAAACCGGACGCGCAGGGCAGGCGGTGCGGTTTTTATCGAGTTAAAAGTCCCAACCCGCCGAAAGTTCATCAAATAATCATGAGATTCATACTTCGACACAAACCCGAGGCGACCATTTAGTGCGTCTGACATGTGAAAGACGGCCGATAGTCTTTTAAGTACAAGAAACTCACGGGGCGGCACAATATTTTGGCTTTCAAATTCCCCAAACTGAGCAATATCTACCTGCAGGAAACATCGAAATTCCTTTACTCTCCACAAGTACAGTGACAACTGCGATATTATATAATATATAAGTTTATATATTCTATAATAATAATAAAAAACTTGATTTTATATAGCGCCTTTAAAGGTGGCTTCTCAAAGCGCTTTACAGGATGACAACAACAATAAATAAAAATAATACACAAGATAAAACACAATTTCAATATATAGAGGGGACCGATATTCAGCTGAAGAAGAGAATCACGTTTTTTCAGAGTTATAATTCAGAACTTGTTCTGAGTTGAAACGTTTCTTCGGCTGAAATTGTAAATGGTTTCATTTTGCGAACCATTTTCATTTTTGAATAAAAGTCAGTGTGCTCAATGTTTAGTCCCCCGCAATACAACATAATTTTCGCGAGGCTGTTGTGTTTTCGTCTTAATAAACTCTGAAACGTTGAAGAACAGGTTATTTTTGTGTGTGAATGCGTTGGAAATTACATATATAGATGAATTCTAGGGGATGTTTTCTCTTCATTAAATGATGGATTTTTTTTTCTGTAGAGACAATTCGTTCGCAAAAAAAACAAACAAACAGTATAGACCTTAAATAAAATAACACTTTTAAAAAGCATGACGACAAATAACGTACGTAATGAATTCCGGCTTAAACTCTCATACTGAAAACATTCTAGTGAAACCTGATGTCTGTCAATATGAACACTGAATGAACTGGATTACTCTATTTAGAAGTGTGACTAAATTCATTACAATCCGCCATGTAACAGGTAAAACCTTTTTATTTTTCACACCCGACACTTCAGAGATGTGACTGCTCTTAACAAGAACAGTCGAATTCAACGACTCTCCACCCCCCGTTGTTTCATATAGAAACGGACATAGTGGCACTTCGGACAGCCAGATGGAGATTATTTAGGTCAATGGGAATTTCTGTTTCTTTCGTTTTGAAAGGGATATTTTTTCTTCAGGGGGTGGTAGCACCATGTGCCTATGGGACCAGGGGTGAAGGACAGCGAGTCACAGGGACAGGGGGTGAAGGACAGAGTCACAGGGATAGGGGGTGGACAGTGAGTCACAGGACAGGGGGTGAAGGACAGAGTCACAGGGACAGGGGCTGAGGGACAGTGAGTCACAGGACAGGGGGTGAAGGACAGAGTCACAGGGACAGGGGCTGAGGGACAGTGAGTCACAGGACAGGGGGTGAAGGACAGAGAGTCA